GCGCCCAGCCCGACGGGCGGGGGGGGGGCTCCATTCTCGGAAAACCAGTGGCGGGCTGTTTTTCAGTCCCAGAATTTTCTGAGGGTCGGGGACGACGTCGGGGCGGTGTGGTGTCCACGTGTTTCCCAGTTTTCCCGTGGGAACAGCAAAACATGTATACACCAGGATGCCGTACACACCAGAATCCGTTTTCTTGTGCGGATCTCAGTGCGGGACCGGAAAGAAGCATCGGTGCATAAAGTTCACGGGGGGAAGTGAGAAGGAAAAGGCCTTTTCAGAAGGCGGCGGGGCTTCTCAGAAGCCCTCTGGCCTTGAGAGAGGTTTTCTGTGTCTTCGGGGAAGGCTGAGAAAACTTCTCAGGAGGTCAGGGGAATTTCCGAGCCTTCGGAGGAGGCTCGCCCCCTCTCACTTCCCCCCCCAGCTGGCCGCCGATCCATCGAGAGCCGTCGCCGTCCGCAAACACGCAACGTCTTGAGAACGTAGATGCCCTGATTCGTACGTGCTGGAACGCAACGCGTACCGTGTTCAGCACGCTTCACGCGCGTGTTGGCCCCACTTTTTGGCGAGCGTATCGCACCAGGCCTACAATTCAAGTCTGCGTGTTGAGGTCCTTGTCAACACGCTACGGGTTGCGCGCCGCGTATCGGGGCAGCCGAGCTTGAGAAGATCGGGGCGCAGGTTTTTCACAGTTTTCTGCCCTCGGGGGCCCCCACCGGGCTCTGGGGCCGTCAGCAAGAAGACTCGACATGAGAAGCTGGACTTGTGTAATGGGTCGTGACTTCTGGGGGATTGACATTGTAAATTGTAAACAAAGTATGATGACGGGAGTCGTCGTTGTCGCCGCCATCGTCGCCGTCTCCGTCGTCGCTGTCTTGGTTGTGGTGGCGGCCGTCGTCAAGGGCGTCGGGGGCGTCGATGACGACGTCGGCGTCGAGAATGATGACGGGGAAGACGCTTGGTGGAGAAGTCGGTTTGGTGTGAGAGGAGGTTCGGGGGGAGGAGGAGGAGGAGGAGGAGGAGGAGGAGGAGGAGGAGGAGGAGGCGGAGGAGGAGGAGGAGGAGGAGGAGGAGGAGGAGGAGGAGGAGGAGGAGGAGGAGGAGGAGGAGGAGGAGGATCCAGGACAGAAGATTGATGTTCGGGGGTCGAGGTTCGAAGTTTTGGCGTGCTTGGGAGCACTGCTGGGGCAAGTGATTCCGCCCGCCGGATCCAGTCGATCGGGCGGGCCCCGATCTCTTATCTAGATTGGCGGCCTGACTGGGCTCCCAGTGGAGGGGTTTGGGGAGGGGCAAATACTTCACACGCCGAGGATTCGCCTGAGACTTCCCTACCACTCATGATCCTGAAGCTCAGAAGCCGGGAGCAGCTTCACAGATTTGAAGGCGGGCCGCTACCAAAGCGTGGCTTTCGCGTTAGCGCCGCGCACATTCGTTTTAAACATTTGCAAATGATTCACGGATTGAGGGCGGGCTGATTTCAAAATGTGGCTCTCGCCTCAGCGCCGCGCACACTCGTCTTAACCATTTGCAGGAGTTTCTTGGATTATGGGTGGACACTTTTCAAAATGTGGCTCTCGCCTTAGCGCCGCGCATATCCGTTTCACACACTTGCAAGAGTTCACGGGATTCCATGGTAACGTACCAGGAATAGTGTTTCGAAGCGATTCAGGATCGTCAGGACGCAACAGCTGCGTTGACTCGCGGTGTTGAAGTCCCAGGAATGGTGCTCTGGAGCGATCCAGGACCGTCAAAGCCCAACAGTCAGGTTGATTCGTGGGGTTGGAGTCCCGACAATGGTGCTCTGACGCGCTTCAAGATCTTGAAGCGGCTGTCTCCCAACGGGGGCACTTCCTGCAGTGGAAATGATCCCTACGGAGACCCCGAGGCCACGCGCCTAGGCCCGTTGGAGTTGGGCATGGGCGTCCTGGAGATCACATCTCACCCCGTCCAGCTCATGCTGGCGAGCAGCATGATTTTCTGCGCATTCGACGCGTTCCGCCCAGACTCGGGCTGGACGTGCGCGGACGTCGCCAAGCACCTCGACGAGCTCCCCGTGGCCGCGTCCAACTGAAGACATCCTCGCTGGCCTCGTGGCGGCACCCCGTCATCTCCAAGGCTGGCCTCAACAGGGGCTGGGGTGTCTTGACGCCTTGCATGTTGCTGGACAGCATGGCCCTCGTGGACTGGCTTTGGTGTGCAGGGGGCATCCCCAACGATCCTGCGTGGAGGACGGTGGTTGGCTTCCCGGCCAAAATTGAGGATGGTTTTCCACACCTAACGGGGCTGCCGCCAGCCTGCCGACTTCGTGGTTACTTCCAAACGCCAGCGAGGGGAGGGGCGTCGGGCAACGAGTTACGTTGCCGGCGCCCAGGCCAGCGCAGCGTGGGCGGGAACGCCGCTGCCGTCGCCGCCTCCGCCGCCTCCTATGGTTCCACCGACGTCTGCGGCATCGCCATCGCAGGCGCCGCCTCCTGCAGCTTCGGGCCGGGCCGCGCCCGCGCCCAGCGCCCCGCTGGCGGCCGCCGCGCAGCGGCAGCCTGAGCCGCGGCCGATGCCGCCGGGCCCGGGCTGGACCCTCCTCGGCCTGTGGGCCACTCGAGGGCGAGGACCCCCGCAGACGCACAGGCCAGCCCTGGCGGGCAAAGGCGGGGCAGGCGCCGCGCCTCGCTGGGGCAGGCAGAGGCCTCCACCGGATCGTCGCCGCCGCCTGCTCCGTCCCCACAGCCACCTGTTGGAGGGCCGGGCTTGCCGAGCCAGGCCGGGACCGGTGGCTGCGACGACGCGGGGGTCAACCGGCGCGCCGCCGAGGAGACCAGGAGGAACGCGCCTGCTGCGCCTCCTGCGCCTCCTCCGCCCCCGGAGCCTCCAGCTCCACCGCTGCCCGCCAGCTGCAGCGACAAGGGCCTCAACGGGTGCGCCGCGGAGAAGGCCAGGGGGATTGCACCTCTGGCGCCATCGGCTCCGACCAGCGATGGCGGCGAGGATGAGAAGGCGCCTGGGGTTGCCCAGAACGAGACGGAGAAAGAGGCCAGAGCGAGGGTAACGGCTGCCGCCGACCGACTGTTGGCGGAGCCGGCGGCGAGTCTTTCGTGTTCGTGGACAATCGGACCTGCATGCCCTCCAAGTGGTGTCTTTTCGGATCCTGGTATGGCGCTGTGTACCAATCTCGGAAGAATCAGGAAAAAGGAATGGCACCATACTTCGGTTCTCTGCGTGCAATCCTTTCGACGAGTACATTCATCTCACCCAGGCCCTGAACACCAGGCTGGCGGAGGTGACGAATGCCAGGGAGATTGAGCGGGTTCAGACAGCGCCACTGCCCCAGGCCTGCGTTATGTTTACAAATATCTTCGAGGCAGGAGGCATTCACTCGCGTTGCGTCGGCCAGAACATCTACGCTTGCGATCAAGTCCGCCGGCCGATCAGGGAATGGTGCCGCGGCCCCCTCATGAGCATGTCGTCCTCCGGGAAGAATTATCGCGGCACAGTGTGTCCGGAATCGACGTCATGATGTGCGCCGAGTCGACCTTCATCTTCGATGATCATGAGGGTCAATCTCGCGGGGACGGAGTACTTCGGAACGAGCTTAGTAGCATGACTGGGGCATGCTACGGCTGCCACAAGAAGGGGTTGAGCCTTCGGGAGTTCTATGATCTCATTGGCCACGCGGGCACGGAAGGAGGTGACTTCGATTGTGATAAACACTTCCAGTCAAAGCGTGACTGCAGAATACGTGTTGTGGCGTGGAGTGGGACTGGCTTGGACGCGAACAGTGATCACCGGCTGCAAGGGCCAACTCCCGATGCTGATGGCTGGCTCTACTTCGAGTGGAGGAGATTCTCGAGCAGGTCGTAAGATTCGTTGATACTCAGGCCATATCTTCCAAGGTCCAGGCACGTACATGATTGTCTCTGGCTTGGGAGATATTCAGTTTTGGGGCGTGCGCCTTTCAGAGGGCACGTGCATTATGTGGAGCGCCCTTGCTTCCCGAGCCGCTGCCGTAGCCGACGACCGAATGCTCCATGGGGAGGAGCTGGGGGTGCCGTGTCGGCTGCTTTGGGTCCGTGGATCAGAGCTTAGCCAGCTGGGGGCCCACCCCAATGGCGATCCCTGGCGCTTCCTGGCAAACCTTCCTGGTCATCCAGATGGAGAGTTCGTGACCGTGGCGTCAAAGTACGTGCGAGCCGCGTGCCAGCTCTGCGTGGAACTCAACCAGGACCCAGACGATCCGACGCGCGGCAACTATGTTGCTGCCAGAGGCTCGGGGCCCAGGAGCGCTGCTGCAATGCCGCCGCCAGCGACGAGCCCACCCGGGGCCCGTTGCCTGATCGGCGGGATCACCGTCAACGGCGCGGCCCCCTGAATGGGCGTCGGAAATGTTCTTCCGTTCAACCCATCCGCGGGCCCGCAGCTGTCCCTCCTGGACTGCAGAGACACCGTCCCGCCGATGCTTTCGCAGTAGGCGCGCAACAAGGGCGTGCCGCCCATCCTTTCTTTCAATCGGGATCTCGTGATGCCGGGAATGCTGCCCGATCCAACCCGAGCCCAGACAGATAGCGTTCCAGACGAGCGCGTGCAGGCGTGTCTGCGGTTGGCCGAGTTTTGCGGTCGCCTCTTCGACGGGCGCTATCTCTGGTTCCAGCCGGGCGGCGCCCTGATCACCGAGTTCCGCCCGTTGTGGTCCCTGGCGCACCAGGTCTTTCGGATCATCGCGTCGGGGGTCGGTGGGCCCGAGATATCGTGGGTGCTGGTGCTGGACCGCCGGCTCCATGGCATTGCTCTCATTCCTGACGTGGACTCAGCGCGCATTGATTGTCGAGTGCGACGGGCAGCTCGTCAAATACGAGAGAGATGGTGAATATCGGCTTGTGACTACCGAGCTTGAGAACAGAAGGACCCCCCTCCGTGGGCTGACGATGGAGACCTCGTCTTCAGCGCGGGATGTCGCGGCCGACTGGGCATCGTGCTTTGCTTCCACTGTCGTTTGATGGTCGCCTATGTTGCGTAGATCGCCCCGCCCCGCGGCACCGTGCCGTTGCAGGCCTGGCGAGACTTGGGCGTGGAGGAGGCCCCGATCGACAGTTCAACGCCGGGGGCCAGCAATTCTGTAGTTGGCCCTGCGCAGCAGGCGCCGAAGATGAGCCTGGTCGGGCGCGAGACGGATTCGAACGTCAACGAGACGAAGTGGCCGCATAACGACCGGGAGGATGCCACCGTTCGAAGAAAATTGGGGCTCCAAGGGAAACGCGCTTTCCGTGTGATCAGCACGGCGCGCCTTGCCTGCCTCCCTGAGTCGGTCGACGATCTACGACCGCCACGACGAAGTTTAACTAAGTTCGGTATCGCCAAGAAGCTCGCCCCGCGCTGGATCCGGCATCGAGCCTATATGGGCGCGCCAGCAACGGGGAAGCAAGCGATCGTGCCGATGGAAGTCAGGTGTCCCTATTTGAGTGTCGTATCAAAATGGACGACCAGTGCGATTATTTCGCGTTGGAGGAGTTTCCGTAGGATCTCGACCGGCCCCGGAATCGCGGGCGGGGCGAGCCCTCCAATGGCTGGGGGTGCTGGGTCAGAGCGCGCGGGCAGATGGGCAGGATCCCCCCGTTGACATTGCCCGAGGACGCGATGGACAAGGATATCGACGAATGCTGACAGCTCGTTGAGAGGGCGCCTGCGGCGGAGGATATTCAGTGGCAAGACGGGCCAGGGCCCGTGGCGCCTCGGGCTGCTGTCGACTATGTCGGCATTGCCCGGGGCGTCGGTGCTCGCTCGCGCGGTCGGACCTGGGTAGCGCCTTCGAGATCGGGCGCTCTCTGTCCGCCCGGGGCGTTCTCTACGACGACTCCAACAACTAGCACTATGCCATGATCGCGAGCGTGACCAAGCCCAGTGGTTTCAATCATGAACCCAATGGCGGCCCCGAGCAGACGTCGGCGCAGGTCCAGGGTCCAGGCCAAGGTGTAGCAACTCTGGGCAGAGCCGCGGGCTCTTTGCACCTGCAGTCCAGACACTGTTCTTCGCGGCGCATGGTGGACTCGGGGAACGGGAACGTACTGCTTGGCGATTCAGAAGGCCAAGGGGTCCAAGTGGGCGCGCAGCGTAGGATCCAAGGATGATGAACTTGATGTCTGGAGAGGCTACGAGAAGGAAGTGGGTGGGTGGGGGGGGGCTGGAGATCGCGCGCGCGCATAAAGAGATTGGCACCCTGATCCGCGACTGCGTGGAGGACATGTTTGCGGACGTGCAGCAGTTGATGGGGGGTAGTGTTGCGGACGTCGAGGATTGTCCTCACTTTTTTCAACGGCGAAGGCGTACATCTCCCGCGCCACTGCCCCGCTCACGAAATCGGGCCGCGCTGCTGTCGAGCGACTGGCGGCGCAGAGCTGGGGGTGGGGGGAGTATGTGATCAACGCGGCGATGATCGTGCTCTCCACGTATTCGCAGTTCGAAGTGCCTCAACCGAGCCGGTCCGGGGCGCGGATCGAGGGGCCCCTCGGTCTCGGAACTTTGTTCCGAGCGCTGCGTCGGAGCCTCTGGTGGGCCGCGTGGTCGCAAGGGTGGCGCTCGCCCTCGGCCGACCCAGCCGAAGGGGCGGTGACGCTCTGCTCGGGCGACTTCAGCGGGGATAGGCAGCTCGGTGGGCCCTGGTCGCGGTGTGCCACCTGCTGCTGTTAAGGGCGGCGGGAAGGGCCAGCGGCAGAAGAGGCGGGGCAGCCAGGGGCCGCGTGATCGACCGCCGCTCGTGCGGCGCCGCAACGCCGAGCCGATGCCCTGGGAGCTTCAGGATCGTGTTCGGGCGAAGTCTACTGCGGCCCCAGCTGTGCCACAGCCTCGCCGCACCTCGACGCGTGACGTGCGGCTGGAGGCAACTGATGAGGAGCCCCGTCAGGGCCAGGAGGATGAGGCGCCATGGTCGACGTGGCGCAGCTCGTGGTGGAGCTCTGGCAGCTGGTGCGGCTGGCGCGGCTGGGGCGACCGCTGGGGCTACGATGACTGCTGGAACGGTTTCTGGCGCTGAGGGGGGCGACTCGTAACTATGCTACGAGCGTCCTGGCATGCTCGCGCGGCGCGGAGGCAAGCGGCTGCGAGCCTCCGCGCACCAGGCAGCCTGCCCAGGACGCAGTGCGTTGGCCAATGTGCTGACGTCCGTCTGCGCGCGGAGTCCCCGCGCCCAAACGGCCGCGGGGGGAGTCATTGGCAGCGCTCCCCTCGCCCCCTCTTCCGCGTCGCCGCGTACCTTCCAACAGAAAATTAGCGGCGCCGCCGTAACCATATTCTTATTGGCAGCAATTTTCGCGAGGTGTTACAAGCGCGCCCTCCCCTCCTCCCGGGTCGGGCGCATACTTGCACATGCACCTATAGCAGACTCGCTTACTGGGCACTATTGCCATCGTGGCAAGGAGGCCCCCAACCCCGATGTACAATCTGGGGCCAATATTCGAGGGTATACATATGCAATATGAGGAACAAGGTCACTACAAACACTTGCGTACTAATAAGGGT